CCTTCCCCCAGAGACACCACTTTCATTATTTTAAAATGAAGTCTGATGGTTTCATAAGCTCCCTGGGTAATTCCAATTTATGGTCAAGGTTCAAAACCACTAATTTAAAGGTTTTTAGTTAAGGTAGTAGTTCTGACTCTATTGGGCTCACATGAAGCATTTATTTTTCTGACAATCCCACGTGATCCTAGTGGGTGTACCCAGGACTGCTGACAGCCTCTGGGATATCACATGAAAACAAATCAGTGGAGGTAGTTTTCAAAAATATTTTCTTCACCTGCTCCTAGGAAGCATCAACAGATGTATGGGGTCTAGGATACAGAAAATGAGAGTTCCTCTGCACTTTTCTAACTGAAATGAATTCCACCACATTTTAAGAGGCATGTTGACTAATTGAATTCATCCAGCATGTCAAAAGACTAAATAGCATATCATCTCTGATACATGACTAGAAAATGGCATGATAGTTGTCTTTACATATTTTTAAAGGTCTGTTATATGGAAAAAATACTAGACTTTTTTTTTTGCCTGTCTGTTTTATAAAGTGTGAAAATTAAAGGGAAGGATATTCTACCACCATCTGAAAAATAATATTCTACTAAAATGGGCTTTCAGAATGCCATCGTTGGATTTATCATATATGAAATTATACAATGTCAAATTGTTTAGAGAAGGAATTTAAGGAGTTTTCATCTTAAATAACTGATAAATATGTTAGGTAATGCATATGTTAATTAGACTAATTGAGACATTCTATAATATGTACATATATACTATATATTTTAGAAGTGTGTATTCCATAAATATATACAATTTTTATTTATCAATTAAGAAAGAAATTGTACAATAGCTGCTGTAGGCTCTTGGGAATATTCTTGTTTATATGTACCTTCTGACTATGAACTACCTAGATTGTATGTGTGAAGGTCGCATCCATCTTTTGTGTTCCCTTTTGTCAGCAACAGAAGTGGCCCATTATTCTGAGCAGAACAGAACCTTAACAAATGTTTGTTGGCCATGTGACTATTGAATTTATATTTATATACATTGATAGTAAGCTAAATCCTGGGTCTGCAATGCAGTGTGAAGGTAGACATTTGTACTAATCCAGATTTATTTTAACTTTATTCAAATATACAATTATCAAGCCAAAAAATTGTGATTTTGTTTCAAATTATGTGAGTATCACAATTTCTTATGTACTTTTCCATCTGTTTAGAAGGTAGTTATGTAAAGACATGCACATATGCATACTGACCCTCACTTCATTCCATCACACCTTTCAGATCACACCATCTTCAACTCCATCCTCCTTTTTCTCTTTCCCTTTTCTCTTCAGTCCAAGTGACTGTGGCAGGGCCTGCTGTTCATTTCACTCCGGCCATCCCTGATCACCATAGCTAATCAGAAGTCATGCCAGCCTGTACCAATCATTAAGATGACCCAAATTAACAGCCTGGCCATGTCACGGTACATTCATTCCACATACACAGACATGGCTTAAGTGTGAGGAAGAAACCCGGATGTGCTTGTGTTTGCTTATAATATGCATTATTGATTGCCATGTTCTGCTTTAGCACTTTAAATCTGCAAATGAGAATCATCTGTCAATTATTGCAGCCAGAATCAAGATCAGAGGTCTACAGAGAAACGTGTGTGCCTTTTTCTACCAGCATTTCCTTTCATTTGCTATTTCCCTCCAGTTACATTGTAAAGCATCTATATAGATATTCTCCAGCTCTTTGCTTAATAAAAATAGTTTTGTATTCTAAAAAGAGAAACACACCTACCATAGGTAGATGAAAAAGGTAATACAGTTCAGAATTGTGAGTTCAATGCAGGATTTTGCAATTCAGTTACCTTATGAATACTAGTCATTAAAACTCAGCTTGTAATAGAACACAGGCAGTCTTATGTCAGTCACAGTTGTGATTGTTGACACCTTGGAGTACCTGGTGTAAATTTTATCCCCAAAATATTTGCATTCTTGATAACTATTTTTCTACAGTGCATTCTGATCATTAAAGTGTCCTACTACCTGCTAAATGTTGGTATAAATTAACAATTCATTATGCACAATAATTTATATAAAACATTACAGATAGAGATCATGTTTAATTAAAATTAACTTCCATATGAAAGCCAATGTACTAATGATTCACAATGACCTTTTATTACCTGCAGTCCCTTGTTTTGGCTGGATGATTGACAGCTTGCTGTTTGGCTACCATGTTGAATTTCAGCTGACAAGACTTTTCATTTTAACTCAATTTGCCCGCCTATCACAAGCTGGTGGCAGGCCAGACCCAAGTCACCCAGCTTTGCCTCAGCAGCTTGCTCTAGTTCTCATTAGTACGCATTTATTCAGTGGAAATTGGAAGACAAATGCTTGAAGGCATGTGAACTAAGTATAGCAAATTAGGTTTAAAGACTGAATATTTATAAGTGTATGGAAAGGGTTTTTTTTTTTTTTTTAATTCTAGAGCGAATTGAGAACTGAGTGCTAGCTTTGGTATAAAAGAAATGAAGAGAGAAAGGGGACGATTCTAAGAATAACAATACTATAAGCTTTTTCTTTCCATTTTGGAAATATGTAAAATCTCTCTGACAACACCTTATCAAATAAAAACCTGGCTTCCCTTTCATGGAATGCTTGCACAATGAAGTTTAGCACTTCGTGTGTGAGAAGGGGGAAAAAATGAGGGTCATGTTCATTTGTTGCTTGGTTATCCCTTGGTATGTTTTAAATTGCCTTGTTTGTTCGGCACTAGCACAGAAACAGATGTTGCTCTACCGTGCAGGATAATTTACTGTACCTCCTGGTGTAGCATGGACGTCCTCCCAGGGCCCAGCTGGTCTGTCAGTGGCACTGACTGGTGTCTGCTCAACTATGACAACTACAAGTAGAGGCTGCAATGTTTTTTTTTTTTTTTTAATTGTACAGTTGTCATTCTTCTCAATGTATAGCTCTGCTCGAATTCATACCGAGGGTGGTTGAAAAGCTGCCGGCTTTTGTGTCTGTATATTGTACTGCAGGACACTATGGTAGCTTGACTCTCCATTGTTGATAATAACGAAACTCATTATTTTTGTCATCTAATGATTAGCGGCATGATCGCTCTGAGCTAGAGCCAATCTCGTCTTGCACACATAACTGGTACTGGAAGGTAAAACAGATTTGTCACTTATGATCTGACTGCTGAGCCACACTTTGAGCTCCATTATTGTGATTAACTTCTGCATAAGATATGCTGCCCAATTGTCATTTGTGATACTGTGGTGAGCACAAGCTGCCATGCTCCCCAAGAGCACATCGGCCAATGAAATGTGACCATGTTGTTCAGACTTCTAAATCCCTGTCCTGTCACAGCAGCCACCCACCATTATTTTGCTTTTGTATTTTCTTCTTCTCACACCCCTACTGAACTTGGGTGAACAGCTCTGCTACATATGTCATCTACCATTCCATACCACAAGCTAAAATGATGCAATGCTCTTGGTCCAGCATACCCGGCAGCAGTACATGGGAAGCCGACCCTTGCTTCTCACCATTGAAATGTTGGTTGTTGGTGTCCTGCCAACTGAAATCTGTCATGTCAGGTGCCTTGTGGCTATCTGCTGTAGAGTCCATGTTCTAAAACCAAAGTTCGTTTCTGGCCTCATCACCAGCAAACCGATTTGACTCGGCCTGATTATAATAACGAAGGCAGTCCGGGAGAATATGCACAGCCTCACTGTACATCACATTGAATCATTGCACTGACCATACAGAGCTGACCGCATCCTCATTTCTTTAGACAAATTCATGCTTAAGGAAAAACCTCCTGGAAGAAGGCACCCAAAGCAACTTTATATTCCTATGCAAATTGGGCATAGATTTAAAACTTACTGAGATAACATTTGTTTTTACTTATTGTAGGATGCAATCCTCACTGCCTTTAACAATCTAATAATCGGTACTAGGTGTGTCAGAGTTTTGCAAAACTCTACTATGAAATTGAGCTCTTTGTGTGTGTGTGATTTCTAAATTGTCAGTCATAAACATAACCATTTCATTATCATGTGAGAGGGAGAAGGAAAAAGCTCCATTTGGAGCTCTTTTTCACATTGCTGATTAGAAAGAATCAAGCTTTATATTCTAGGACCCATTCACGCTGGTGGAAACATAGTCAGTTTTGATTATGAAGGGAGAGATGCAGACCTAGACAAGAGCTACACGCTGATATGCATGCTATCAGAATGATTTATGCAAATTATGCATATTATTCCCAAAGGAATTCCTCCTCAAACTGCCAGGATAAATTGCCGGAAATTAGCCATAAAAATCTGTCATGCTAGGAGCAAAAGGTGAAGGCCATTGGGAAAGCAAGGACATTCAGCTTCTGGAATCTTCTAGGATATGGTGGTAGCTGTTATTCTCCCTGGATGCTGCAGAAAATCTGTTTTGGTTTTTTTCCTGAATCCTATAGATGTATTTTTCTTTTGAAAATTTTCCAGCAAACACTGACTAACATTTTATTTACAGGTAGCATAAAAGAAATCAAGTGTTAAGCTGTCTCAGAAAGCACTATTACAATTACTTTACTCTTAGCTGCCTAAGTGGTTATTAAATGGCTAAATCCATCTGAAGGCTTGTGAAATAATCCACCAGCAGTGAACTGTAAGTGGAGTATAGTTTTCCTTTCCAATAGGTGTAACCTTAACGCAGTATTTCTCTCCTGCAGAGCATTTTCTCATAAAAATCCTTACCAGTGGCTTTCTGTCCCCACCGCAGCACTGAGGCCTCCTACCTGTGAAACACTCCCAAGTTATCGGGCCAGGCTACCCATTCTTCACCTTGCCACCCACAGCCACCATTGGCTCCCTCCTGGGACTCAGTGGATATGATAAGAAATGGTTTCCTTTTCAATTAAGGCTATTAGTAATGAGCTTTAATGCCCAATTGAGAGTACTTTTCAGAAGCAGTCGTATTTCAGTGAGTTACTCTTCATTTCTTTCAGAAAGCATCGTTTTTGAGGCTCTTCGACTGTCCTCGTATTCAAGCACTATTCGTTTTGTTGAAGAGGATTTTACTCTCAATTTAGAGACTGGTGACTGCTGTCTGCGAAAGGGAGACTTTGTAGCTCTCTTCCCACCAGCCATACATGGTGATCCTGAAGTCTTTGAATCTCCAGAGGTAAATAAGCATCAAGCAAATTATTGATCGTGGCTAACTAATTCTTAGACATCCCTAGCATGTTCTTCTTTTTTATAACCACTCTCTTTTCCTCTTACTACCTCATTCCAGAAGAGATTTGATAATTTCTATTCTTCCTTCTGATCAGGAAGCTTTCCTCTGTTTCAGTTGTTTTTTGGCAGTGGTGCAGGTGAATGATCCCAAGATCTTTACAGTGAGCTACATTCCCCACCATTTTTTGAGGCAGTGCCTCACTAGACACTAAGTTTCCCAGACTGGGCTTAACTTTACAATCCTCCTGCCTCTGCCCCTCAGAATGCCCAGATTACAAGTGTGTGCCATCATGCCAGGCTAAAGTTTTCCCTTTTTTCTGAAGTGTTTTGTAAGAATCCATTTTGAAATGTTGTACATCTACAAACAGAAATCCAGTGATAAGTCTAAACACTATTTTATTCAAATACAGTGATAATTTTACCTTGACCAGCAATACTCTTAGCCCCAAATTTTATTTGGGATGGCTACCCAATTGAGAGATGGAACAAAAAATAAGTAACTATTTTGCTAAGTATTTTCAAAGTTGGAGTTTTCCCAAAGTCAAATACCATTGTTGCTATAGTTAAGCTCAAGTACTTTTTTCACTAAAAGTATGTACCCCTTCTTCATCAGTTAGTGTGCCCTTATGAACTTGAAACTGTCAAACTGCTGCTCATGGATAAAACTCTAAGGGTAATAGTGTCATCTCCTTGTTTTTTTTTTTTCTTCTGAATCTAGAGTTAATGAATATCAAAGACTGGAAATTAATCCACCCTGGTTCATCCCTTAATACCACTTCAGAGACTCACCACCTGCATGCAAATTGAGTGCAGTTATTTTCTGCCTATCCTCTCGTGAAGTGATGCTGCTGCAGCAGCCTTTGCACATATAGTGCCTTTTTACGAAAGAAAACTGTGCCCTTTTTGAGCACCTCATAGCTTGACCACTTTTAAACCCAGTTTCTAAATTTGATGTTTTGCAGCTTGAGTGAATTACACTATGACTAGATTTTGGAAATGAATGAGAGAATGAGCCAGATATAATAACATAAATTGCATTTCTTTCACTGACAACAGCAAATATCTTGTTATAGGTAAATGAATGTGTTTTCTATGTATTTCAGAAAAAGAGGCATTATATGAATGATATAGCATATAGGACATAGACTATTACTGATTCTACAGACCACAAGTTTTACCTCCATATTTGTAAATATCAAAAACATATTCCACTTAAAGTAGACAGACAGTAAATAAGGCAAATTAAGACTTTATATCTGAAAATGTTTAATTTTTAAAGTTTTATTTTTATCTATAGTTTTTATTAATCTTCTGCTTTCTGTTTTCATTGTGATTGTTCCATTATTCTTTAAGTTCACTAATCATGTCATGAAAGTGAATTCAATATTAAAGTTAGCAACAAGTACTCAAAGTTTACCAGGTTTTCACTGTCTATGTCACTAGTTCCCATGCCTCTCCATTCCCGTGATAGAGATCTTCATTTAGAACTCAGAAGTTTAAAAACCAAAGTTAAAAACTGAAAGTAACTTTATGCTTTTGTGTCTATTACAAAATGGCCATGCCCAAATATTGCATAATAAATTAACTGATCTTAATAGCAATCAGAAAGATGTGCCTCATAGTAAATTAGTAGAAGAGCAAAAATTGTAATATTCTGGATACTTAGCATCATTATAGTAAGTCTAACTTGAATTGATAAACACTATATTATTTGCTAGATTTAACACTAACTGATTTATGCCTGGCTAATATAAACATTAATTAGCTAAATTTTTTGCAATGATATTGTTTTCTTGAAATTAATTGTGGAATATTGATATTTTCTGGCACAGGAAAAAAGATATAGTTAAAAAACATTTTTATATAATTTGTCCAGCTGTCATAATTTATTCTATAAATATTTACTAAGTACCTAGCACTCTAACGCATATAGATTGATTGATTGATTGGTACCGGGGATTGAACTCAGGTCCTTGCTCTTGCAAGGCAGGCCACCGAACCACTGAGCTAAATCCCTGGCCCATAGTTTTATTTCTTAAATTCTTTGGTTCTTGAAAACATAAGATATCAATAAGTAGATGATGCAGATACTCATATAATAGTTAGCCAACCCAAACTACCACACATTTATAGAAAAGAGGAAAAGAAAATTCTGGAAAGTCCCATTGGTGACCATTTGTGGCTGAGAGCATTAGCCTCGGAGCTCAAAAGACTCATATTTTTCTCTACCAGCCTTTTGTATTCTACACACTTGCAGGAAAACCAGGCCTTAGATGCAAGGAAAAAAAAGCTGGTGGATCAAAAAAAGAAAAAGACTAATTCTAAATATAGGTATAGCTGTTCTTGGAGAACATGGATAATAAAGAGTCTCAGCAGAATGTTTCCTCCTAATACACAGGGGCATAATTTTAGCACATCTGAGTTCCAAGACTCTAGAAGATTGTATTCCAAAACAAGAGGTCATCCTTCACATTTTAGGGACTTTCCATCCACATTTTTCTATTCCTAACATGTCTCTCCTTATTTATCCATTCCTGATATTTCCCTTACTTGTCCATCCAGCAAACTCCAAGTTTTGCACAATAATCACCTAAGTCACTGCATCTTTGATGTTTTCCCTGATTCCCACTGCATTCCTAAGATTTTGCCTTTGTCCATCCTGCCGCATGTATACCTTTGTTACGTGATTACCCTAGCATTTTAGCGCCCCCTCACAGGGATCTATCCCTGTAAGATTATATATAAAATGATGCTAGGATGGATGAATACACTGAAAGTAAAAATACACTTCAGTTAAAACTTTAAATCAGCACAGATCAAATCATTTAAATAGTGTTGTAATATGTCAAATAAAGTGGATTTTGTATGAATATAGTAATACTGTTAGGATAGTAAGAACTATGTGGAAAGAGACCCCAGAAGGTATTTATATGTGACCCCTGGATACTTCAGGAATAGACCTCAGCTTTTGGACTTCCTTGGGCCCAAATCATATTGGTCTGTAGGCAAGAAAGAGCAAAAATCCAAATCATTTGGATTTTTTAAAAAGAAACTAAGGAACAGATGGGTAAAGTTTTGAATTTTTTTTTCTGGTTTTTTTGAGACAGGGTCTCACTATGTAGTTGAGACTGATCTGGAACTCACTAGGTAGCCCAGGCTGGTCTCACACTCACAGAGATCCTCCTGCCTCAGCCTCCCAATTGCTGGGATTACAGGTGTGCACCACCACGCTTGGCTAAAGTTTTAAATTTTTAAAATTGTGTAACAATAAAGTTTAAAATAATATGGGATAAATAGCAGATGTTTTAATATCTAATTTAGCATATAAGTTATCAACATGAAACTCCTGTGTTACAGATTATGCTTTTTCTGAATATTGATTGCTAAATTTATTGTAACATTAAGCAGTCAGGTGGCTAGGTGGCTCTTACCAATGTGGAAAAACATATTGGCAAGTGAAATTTACAACAATGAGAGAGGAAAAGAAAAAAACCTATCTTGACTCTTCCTCTTTTTAGAAATATATGCTATTCATAAAAATCTAGATAACCTATTGAATAGCTAGGAGTGTATAATTTTTTAAATTTTTTCAGAGCTCCCCCAGATTTACACATATTATCAGCAAAATGCATGCAGCTGGGTATCAAGCAGGCAGATGTAATGGTAATGACTTATGTTCTGTCAAAGTGCAGTGTCTAGAATTGGAGCTGTAGAAAAGACCAAACCAGCTAGCTGTTTCATTCTTCTACATTTCAGAAGTGCTAAGGGCTAGTCAGAGTCCTGGTGACATTATTGGTCTGTAGGCAAGAAAGAGCAAACATTTAAGGTGGCATTGCTTTATCATCACCCTGCAGTCTCATAAGATCAAGGAGATACAGTGAAATCACAAACCCTTTGTAGTATCCTCTTAAAAGCTCTGAAGTTGAAAGTTCTTGTTTAGCTTCATGTGGTTGTGCCCCATCTACTTCTCAGAGCTGTGGGTGTAATAAAACAAGTGAATCTGAAAGTCCCTTTAAAATTTCTAAATCACTATAGGAAATTATGGTATTAATATTGTTTTATTCCCACATTGTAGATTGTCTCTTAGTTCTGCTAATGGTTTCTTTTGAAGTACAGAAGCTTTTTAGTAAGATGAGATCCCAGTTGTTGATTCTTTCTGCTAGTTCCCGTGCTACTGAGGATTTGTTCATAAAGTCTTTTTCTATACCAATGTCTTCCAGAGTTCTGCCTAACTTACTTTCCAGCAAGTTTAATGTTTCTGTTTTAATATTTAGATCTTTAACCCATTTGGATTTTAATTTAGTGCATGGCGAAAGATAAGGGTCTAATTTTAATCTGTGGCAGGTTGATATCCAGTTTTTCCAACACCATTTATTAAAGAGGCTATCTTTCTTCCACTGAGGATGGTGAGCTCCTTTGTCGAAGATGAGGTAGCTGAGTACATCTGCATTTGTTTTTGTGTCTTCCAGTCTGTTCCATTGATCCTCAGGCCTATTTCTTTGCGAGTACCATGCTGTTTTTATCACAGTGGCTTTGTAGTATAGTTTCAAATTGGGAATTGTTACACCTGGTGCCATGTGACTGTTGCCTATAATGGCTTTTGCTATTCTAGGTCTCTTGTGGTTCCAAATGAATTTTTGAATTCTTTTTTCTAGTTCTGTGAAATATAGTGTTGGAATTTCAATTGGCATTCATTGCATTGAATGTATATAGCAGTTTTGGTAGTATGGCCATTTTCACTATGTTGATTCTTCCTACCCAGGAGCAGGGGATATCTTTCCATTTTTTTATATTATTGTCACTATTCTTTAATAGACAAGTAATCACAAATACATTTTTGTTTCTATGTCAAACAAGAAATAAACCTGGCATCATCCCAGGACTTCAAGGAAACAAACATAGACTGAACCGCTGCTGTCCCGAAAGTAATTTTATAGGCATAATGGGTGACACAGAAATAAAAAGATCTCTGTCTATAAGAGCCTACAAGGATAGGGCAGTGGTGGCCAACCTATAGCACACATGCCCCAGCAGGCTGTTTGTATCATTGAAAGCTCTAAAGGATTCACATCGCTGGTATAGTGTTTCAGTCTTATCACCTGACTGTTTTCTCATAGCCAGATAGATACTTCATGTGGAGAGGGTTTTGTCCACACCAGTAAATTTGTACTTCATACCTACCATATTGAAACCAGTGCTGTAGTAAGTAAGAGCTTTGAAAGCCCCAATTTATACCATTTGTGAATTTTCACGGTATACATACTATAATCCTTGGTGGACTGCACGTTACCAAGAGGAAGACCCTGAGCACAGTATTACGAAGAAATGTGCACAAGCTCTCAGAGGCTGGTACTAGCCAGCTGCAGCTCACGACTGATCTGAACCCACCTCGTGAAGATAAAAAGGGACTTCTGTATTTTGTCATTTTGCCCCAGGGGGGCTATAAACCAGGTGCAGCAGTGCAGCCTTCTAGTCACCCATTCTAAACACTGACGGATTTTGTTCATTATTAGAAAGTCATAGCCTTCGTCTAATTTAGATTCCTTTATCCAAATTATGACCTGAGTGGATAATACCATGTGTCACTTGCCTCAGCAGAACCATGTTTTCCGCCTTTGTAACTTCAATGTTTCACATACAGGAGGTGCTCAAAAAAAATCTGTTGACTGAACTAAATCAATAATATTTGGAAAACACAGACAGGGATGTCATACACTTTTCCTCTGTCACATATACCAAAAATTGTCCTCTATTCAGAAAAATATAACCTCTACTCAATTTTCATTTCAAGAGCTTCTATATTATACCATTTCTACTATTTGTAAACACTAAATATTCATATTTCTCATTCTCTATGTTTATATTTCATTTGATATGCATGTTTCCTTCACTCTCAAGTATTTATTTATTAATTCAATAAATGTATATGGAATGTCTACTATGAAAATAGAATTGTGGGGCCGGGGATTTACCTCTGTGGTTTCACCACCTGCCTTGCAAGCACAAGGACCTGAGTTCAATCTCCGGTACCAAAAAGAAAATAGAAGTATGTCGGAGAATTTGAAAACACAATGATATATAAGACAGTGCACCAGCTTCAGTCTCCTGTGATTTCTTGGTGCTGCCAGCCCTTGGGTTAGCTTCATCTTCTCTCTAGTGCCAATATGGTGCACCAATTCTAGACACAATCTGTACACTAGGTCTAGAGAAGGGAGGTTAACAAATCACGTCTTTTGGTTTTTCTTTCTTTACAAGGAAAGGCTGTCTCCTAGATGTGCCCACGGGCTATTCTTCTATAGCACTAGCCTGGTTGGTTCATGCACCCTACCCTAAACCAGAGACCAGAGCAATGTGATTACTAGGATAAGTACCTCGAAATCTTATGCAGAAGAATGGTGCTGGAGAATCAGTTTGAAGAGCAATGGAGAATTTCAGCGTCTTATACCTTTTCTCATATCTTGTTCTCATTCATTTAATTGACCTTCTTTAATTGTAAAATGTCAAGCTTATTATGGTCATTCACTACAAAGGACTGATGTCAACAGGATGAATCCTGAGTTTAAGTGGATCCAAATTAATTATCTTGAGCTTCCTGACCCCTTGTTTTATATCACTGTGGCCCCCAAATCTCAAGAGTGAGATTCTAATATCCCTTTCCTTTTCTGATTAAAACCAAACAAAATTCCTGGCAGAGGCCATGGGCCCTTATCAATATTGATTCCTGTTCAGGTTCTGTGTGCCTGGACAATGAAACAAGCTGAAAATATACTTTGATTAAAAATGTATTTATTTTCATGTTATGATGGTCACACAGAAAAAGATGTTGGCCATTTCCCTTTTAGTTTCACAAAATAAATGACAAAAATAGAATGTTTAAAATGTTTATTATGAGGAAATTAAATAAAAAGGTGAACATTATGTGTTCACCACTATGGCCTCTAAGAAGATAGACAGTCAAAAAGCTACGAAAGGTTCTGGCTTATTTATATTATCAGGACTGTATAAAGTCCCAATCCCTGCTGTTTTCCTTTTGCATTTTCTGGCTTAAACTATCATAGGACTTTGTGTAACAAATCATTGCACAGCAAAGTTCACTTAAACTGGTTTGGCCTAAGCAGAGAGAGTTCTTGGGGAAAGTGCTGATCTGATTAGGTTGGGAGAAAAAAGGAAGAGGTATCAGGACTAGACTTAGGCAAGCAGTCTGAGCCCAGTAACAGAAACTCACCAGGACTGAGCTCCTCTTTGTAACCTCATCTCCAGAGGAGTGTGAACAGAGGGTGTCCTCATTCCCTATGGTAGGATGAATAGATAGTTTTTGTTTAGCACTGGTTAAGCCCTACTTGAACACATCATATAACTTTGGTAAAATACGTTTATGTGATAAAGGGCTCAAGTGCTAATTTTTTAGGAAACAAAATAGTTATCAAAATGCAAATTAGTTTTGGCATTATCATTGTATCAACTTGAAAATTGCAGCTTTTCTAAACTCAAATATTTATCAAAATAAGTATTCTAGGTAAATGAGAACAAAACCAATGCTATTAGAGGAAATGATTCACTGACATTAACAATACTGGGATTGAGTGAGAAACTTGTATCATTTTTGATAGATTCAGAATGTATTCATGTGTTATAGAGTTTTCATCAAAACTGAAATGCTTTGGCTCTGAACTACTTATTTGCATTTCACTTCATATGGTTTTTTAGCAAAGTTGTGTGCTGAGCAGATCTAATGCTAATGAGCACCAACTACAGGAAATACTTGGTTGTTTTCATGTGAGCCATAAGCATTAATTTGATCAGTGGTTTAATTCACCATGGGCTGAATTAAGGTCACTCAGTCCCCTCTAAGAAACTCAAGTGAGAGTTGAGCATGACCTTTGCCACTGTGGCAAAATTAAGATGGCAGGGCAGACACCTTAGATAACCAGTCTCATAACTTCCTGTAGCAAGTAATGTAATTTATTTGTGAAAATATACCAGAAACACCTGCTATTTTTAACTCAAAGAGAGTTCACTTGGATAGAAATTTAATGGAATAAATCCTTTTCAACATCAAAAGACATGCAAAATTTTATTTTGTGATCTAACCTCTCTATCGCCTTATCTGAATCTTATATTTTACATTTATTTAATCTAAACATACATAGTCTTAAACTAATAGTCTTCATCCATCAGTAGGAGGTTGCAAAGGGCTTAAAAGAGAAGCAAATTAATGATCCATAGTTAGGCAGCTCCTGTAGCTCTTAGGAATTATCATCCCATAATAACAGTGGCAGCACCACTGGATTCCTCTACCCAAAATTGGTATGTCAAGGGCTAATATGTCAAGATCCTCCTTAGGGAATAAAAATAGAGATACAGCCTCCATACTTGGAGCTTGGTGTAGCAGTGCTGGCTGTGATTGGCACGAATCTCTCCCTCATGACACTGATGTTCTGCTCAGATGAGAAGAACCAAAGGCAAATTGAAAGTTTATGGGTAAAAAAAAAATGGAAAAGAAAAGGAAAACTTATTGTAGGTGACTGGTTTGCATATAAATTTGTTCCCTCTGAAACACATATTAAAATTTGCCATTTTTACCATATTGATAGGCAGGGCCTTAAAGACGTAATTAGATCATTAGGAGAGATTAGGGCCTTTCTTTTTTCTGTGAGTTCCCACTTTCTTGGAACTGGATTAACTACAACAGTGAGTTATTATAAAGTAAGGCCACTGTTCAGATTTTCCATCTTCCAAATGCACCTACTTGCCCTTCTACTTTCTTTCACGAGGTTAATCAGCACAAAGCCCACATTCTTCCCATACTGCACGACCTCCAGAAACATAAACTGAGATGAACCTCTTTGGTTCATAAATCACCAAGTCTCAGGTATTCTATGATAACAGCAGAAGCCAACTGAGACCTTAGGAGCAGAGTATGAACAGGGAAGAGGAGTGATACAGGTTTGGGAGTTTCACGTGGATATGGGGAAGTAATTTCTTAGTAGCAATTGAATTTTTTGAAAGTTTATATACGATTTGTAAATAAACAGGCTTTATTTTCCATCATTAGATTAAAAAGGTAGGGGAAAGGTAATAAGGGAAAAGAAAAAAATGAAAAAATGGAAATAAAGTATTTGTAAATGGGGAGGGGAGGAGGGGGTGAAGGGAGGGCAAGGATAAGGGAAAAAAATGAGAACCAAGACCTGTCATGTAAAGATACAAGATCCCAATGATGAGTGTACCTGTACTGTATACCTAAAAAGTACCAATAAACTCAATGAGGAAAAGAAAAAAGAGCTTTTGAGACAGGCATGGAGAACTAGCATGTGAAATTTATTACTAACATTATCTGTTCTTCCTTACAGGAGTTTAGATTTGATCGTTTTATGGAAGATGGTAAGAAGAAAACCACTTTTTACAAAAGAGGGAAAAAGCTGAAGTTTTATTTAATACCTTTCGGATTTGGGGCCAACAAATGTCCAGGCCGATTTTTTGCAGTTATGGAAATTAAGCTACTGTTGCTTGTATTATTAACTTGTTTTGATTTAGAGCTGATTGAAAACAAGTCTGTAAAACTAAAGTACACACGATTGCTTTTTGGTATTCAGCATCCAAATTCAGATATTTTATTTAGATATAAAGCAAAATATTAGAGAAGCTAAATGGGAAGAAAAGAAATCTATCAAAAAGAATCTAAAAGTCTTAAACTCCTCTATTAGTCTTTAATTTCTGCAAATGTAATTGCTTTATTCTTTTGTTTAAAGACTTCCAGTTAATAGTTTATCTAACATCAAATTTAGTTTTTACTTGGTCACAAAGCCTATCATAAAGCAAAAAAAGATGTATGGTAACATAAAAATAGACATCAAATCAACTTCATGGTGATAAATTCAAAAAGTTTTGGGGGTGAAGTTCTACTTATTGTCATTTTCATTTGTTATTATAAATATACCTTCACAGCAATAAATTCGGTATGTGGGATTTTTAAAAGTCATTTAAATTATTCTCTCTCAATTATGTACTTTTGAAAAAATTTGCTTGTAATGGACAGAGTCTAGCAAATTTCAAATTCTCACAGAAGGAAATAAAATTTCCATGAAGTATACTGGATGAAAATGTTCCCTTAAAATATAATATCAATAATATCTGTATTGCTGGGGTATGTTTGCATTAAATGAGTTTTTCAATAGTTTGAATTCTTCAACTTCACTCCAATATTTAATCATCCATACATGCTCTTTATTGCTTTGTATACTATGGCTCAATAGAATTTTATATCATATAACACACCTCATGTTCACATTACATATTGGTGAGATTTAATGTATAGGAAAACACGAAACCTAGTATATATTCAGCAATTTCCCTCGACATTAGTATTAGGTTTATTATAGGAGCAAATGTTGAAACCTTTGATTGTAGTATAAAATATAAGGGCAATGCTGGAGTATAAAATACAAGGGTTAGGCCAATATTAAACTGAACCCTTTACTAAATTCTTTCATTTATATAAATTAAAACACTAGATAGCAGTATTTGTTCTTGAGCTCTCACTTTTTGGACTTAGATTCTATCTGTATATCATTTTTAAATTATAGCATTGTGTAATGCAATAAAATTTCACATGATATGATGAAATTTCTATATGGATTACCAAGGATTGGCATTTAGCGTAAACGTTGTTCAAATATGTAAATAGACAAGGCAGGTAATTAAGCACAGTTAATTCAGAGGCATTCACTGAAAATTCTGATAATTCAGAAATTCAGTAGTTTTTTGAAAGAAATTGATTTTAAGTTAGAAATGACAAGAAACTAGAAGGTAGACCTTTAGAAATGGAGAAGAGGATTGGAGGGAGGAGAAAAGAAAGGAAGAGGGGGATAAGGGGATTAAAAATGACCAAGATATGTTAAATACATGTACCGCACCATTCTGTATTAATTACATGCACTAATAAAAATTGATTTTTAAAACAATATTGAAAATACTTATTGTAGTTAATATATTCTAGCATTTATTTTGCCTTATTGAAGTACTTGCTTTGAGTGCTCCATTATGAAGTTCTGCTTGTAAGAATTCTGTTCTTGATGATTAAAAATGCTTTACTTTCACCCTCAATATTTTTACTTTTTAAAATTTATAATCATATGTTTATAGGGTCTAAAATTATGTTGTTGTTATGAATACAATGTGTAACAATTAAATCATCAGATAGCATATTCATCACATCAAATAGCTAACTTTTTTTTCTTAAAAACAGGTGAAAAGTCTTCTCTTAGCAATTTTAAAACATGATATAGCATAATGTTCTCTAATTTCATCCATGTTGCTAATGACAGAATTAATTTTTGTAAAGGCTGAATAGTACTCCATTGCATACACTATCACATTGTCTTTACACATTCATCTGTAGATGGCATTTAGACGAATTCCTTAACTTGACTTGTGAATAGTACTACAGTGAACATGAGAGTGCAGATGTCCTTCAGCAAACTGACTTTAGGTCTGTTGGGTAAAAACCGATACTGAGATTGCTGAGTGGCCCCTTCCTTTATTTTTCCTTTTCTATTTGGATTTGTTTTCAGATCATTTTCTTTATCAGTACATGTTTGTAGTACATAATGTTTGTACTCCTTACGGGTAGCTGGTACATGTACAAAACACATCTTAATGGGTTTTCTCATTCCCTTTCCCCTTCCTCCACCTGGTCCGCATTCTTAAAAGGTGGTTTTGCTGAGTGCACAAGTCTAGATTCATGTATATGATCTCCTATCTCTTTGAAGATATTTCATTTTCTTAATATTTCCATTCTTGTTATTGAGTGGTTAGCTGTAAGCCAGCATAATTATTCAGGATGTAGTCTGCTTATTCTATTTTTATATGTCCATTTGTCTTTGGTGTTCTTGTTTCTGTTGATCATGCTTGCATGTCATGTGCTGCTTCTTAAATTTGAGAAAAAGTCAAGTATAGAATATTCTTAGCCATTCTCTCTTTGAATATTGCCTCTCTTAAACTCTACTTAGATCTTCTCACTGTATACTCCATGTTATGTGGCATTTTCTCCCCATAGTTTTTATATCCAATTTAAATTCAAAGTAATTTTTTTAGATTTGTCTTCCAGTTTCTTTTAGTATAGTATATCTAACCTGCTCTTTGACACCTCTTCTAAGTTTGTTTCTTCCTTATTAACTTTAATCTCAGGTAACCATACTTCTTACGTGCTTTATGGTGTGCTATTATAGTTGCAAAAAAAAACCTTCTGACTTTATTTACTTATTCTATTTTATCCCTAACGCCTAGTTGATATGTACCTTTACATCTGTATGCTTTTATAACACATACATGTTTATTTTAGCCCGTGTTTTAAATTTACATAAATATATTATCCATAAATCATACCTTTCTCAATTTCCTTGTTAAGCTTTAGGTTTTTAAAGCTACTGCACATTGTTTCATATACATTTAATCATTTGCTCTAAATGAAATATAGTATTCCATAATGTTCACTCACTATGTTTTAATGCTGTGCTCAGCCAATGGCAGACACTGTGTCAGTGGGGCAGTTACTGTTGGGGTGAGGCCCAAGACAGGACTTTGAAATTGCTCCCAGCCTCCCACACCTCCCACTGTGGAGACCAGCCACCCTCAGCCATGGGCTGCTGTAAACCTGTCTCCAATTGCCTCTACCTCACACACACCCATACATATAGACCATGGGCATCTTCACTCTAAGACTTTCTAACTTTACTATGTTCTGCTCTCAAATCCATCTGACTCTCTCTCTTCTGTGGAGTCTTCACTGATGACTCAGTCAGGTTGCCCACCTCCAATTATCAGGCTCCTGGTTTTCCATTTACTTGAGCTGGCTAAGTTCATCGATTACCATTTTCAGTTTGACAGTTCTCATTTGTTTTTCATTTTTGCCATTTTTTTATATCTTGTTTCTTCATCAGACCCTCGATAAGAAAACATACTGTGTATACTGTAGATTTCCCAATTCTTTGGTGTTTTGTGAATCAGATTCCATAGTCTTGTTTTGCTGTTGTTGTTGTTGCTATTGTATTTTTTTCCTTTAACTTTTCTTGGAATAGTTTGACTTTGAGCCCATGGTCCTGGGAATTTTATCTCTAGAATCTTTTTTTAAGACCTGGGTTTAAACTTCTTTCCTCCAGATGGAATTTGTTTTAACTGCTGATGTTATTAAAGTTATCACATCAAATTTTCAACTTGAGCATAGAGAAAAAGAGTGGATCATTACATCAGTGTTGTGAAATTTATTCCTAAATGAGTTTGTCTTAGTTTTGCTTTAGTTATGTTTTGTCTCATTGCTGGGACAATATACCTGACACCCACAAGTTAAAGAAATAGTTTATTTTAGCTCACAGATTGTAGATGTTTCAGTCCATAGTTGGTTGGCAAAGCCAGTATAGCAGAGGAACAATGCAGCAGAGCAAGAGCTTATGGCAAGGCAGGCAGGAAGCAGAGGGCCAGCAAGGGAGGAGGAAGAAGGTATTTATACACCTGTGCAGTCCATCCTCACAGTGACCCACCTCTTCCTATCAGACTTCACCCCCAACATCACAACCAGCCATAAACCCATCAGTGGATTTATCCAGTTTCACACACCTGTGATCCAGTATCAAATACCCAGGATCCAGTCACCTCCCAAAAGCACCACTTATGAGCCCATGAGGCTTTGAGGGAACATTTAGCTATCACCCATAACACAGGTAGGATGCACATTCTAATGAGAATTAGACAGGACTCACATCTGTTTGTTGATTTAATTCAGAGACAAGGCTGAGTCAGGCACATACCATAAATTTCAGTCTGGCTCTGTGGAGTAAAGTTGCTTTCAAGTCCACCTTCAAGTATATCGGCTCTGCAAGTTCTTGGCTGACACCAGGGTTTTGGATTTCACACTTGTGTGTACACACACACTCTTGTTCCCAGCATGGGCCTTAGGCTCATTTCCTGCCCATCACAAGAATAATTCATTCACTTTGTACTAGATCATCTATTTCTTATATTGTCTGAAGCAGAAACCTTTATTCTCTTAAATTCAACTGCATAGTACACTTTCATGATGTTACAGCATAAAGAACACAGGAAAAATTGTATTCTAATTTCTATTCAATACACAATTGGAAATATGTATATGGATTTGTAATAGAAAATAACTATGAAATGGTTGACAAAATATTACATAAAAGAAATCGATAGCAGAACCAAGACAAAATGAGAGCCTATTGAATCCTGTGTTTGTGATTCAAAAAAAAAAATCACGAGGAATTAAGTGAAAAGACATGGACACTATTACCTGTGACATAACTGGTTTGTTATCACCAACAAGTCACTTCACTTCTCAGGGCTTCATTGCGCTCATTTGCAAAATAAAAATAAGAAGTCCTTTTTTTTCAGCTTTAATTGAGTTTATTGGTACATTTTATGGATACAGCACAGTTAACATTCATTGTTGGAATCTTGTGCCTCTACATGACAAGTCCTTTTTGACATCTATTATAATTAAATAACAAGGTTAAACATGTGAACTTACCTTGGAAAATATAAAGCAACATACAATTACAAACTTTAGAGATACTTAAATTATTATGTACCTTTTGAAATTATTCTTATGTACTGTAAAGAGAGTAATTTCAGAGACAATAGTTAATTCACTATTAATTTATTCAACCAAACATTAATTGAGCCTTTCCTCTACTCTAGATATGGTACTATGCACTGGGTTGCTCGTCCCTTTAAGAAGACACAATTTATATAGGGAAAAAACACACACACAACTAATTTATTGTGAATATAATTATAGGTAATAAATTTATCTTCTTAAATTCTGATTTA